TGACGTTCTGCCGGAGTACAAGTGTGGAGGGGTTGGCTTGCAATTTTTGATCCCTAGTCCCATCCCACATGACGCCCCTCTACATGACCAGTTGCCTTCACACTAGCTTTAAATGAAATTTTGCTATTTATCCCACCAAGGCTTCTACTGGTGAGGAAAGACCAAATACCAGCGAGGCAGAGGGAACAAGGTAGAGCTATAGCTATAGGAAGCGTTGCATCACAGTGGCTGCTTCAGGACTGAAGGAGCCACTCCTGGTGAAGCGTTACCTGTAATATCCTGAACTGCACATAATCGTCTTTTTCCACATCTTTTCTATATCACAATATCATTACTCTCAGCAGTGATTGCATCAATCACAGACGCACTGTCAGATGAGGCCACTGCCAGGGTTCACAACAACTATCAAGACCTCCAGAAGTTCGTCAACATAGTATCACTAATAAACCATCGCGTCATCCAGAAAATTAGTTTCACATTTCCAGGTCTACCTCCAACCTTTTCAAAGAAAGTTCGCTTTTAAAGCATTGAACAGACGACTATGTTTTCCTGTAAATAAAGATTACTCACCTGTTTTTTAGTTACCTTTGTGAAAATATTTTACTGATACTTTCAGGTAACAGTAACATATGTAATCTCGTGCGAGAAAAACCTGCTTTCTGCAGTTTATTATCCATTATAAAAGCAACCTATCCTTATCCTATGTAAACTGTTAGTTTCTAATGCTCTTAATAAACTTACAAGCAGTTTTCTTCATCTTAGTTTAAACTAGGTTACATTACATGAACAAAAATGCACAATAACGTAACTGGCACAATACACAAATAACCGCACGTAGAGAGGAGCGTACGTCGACGTTTATGTTATTGTGACTTTGTAAATGGTCAAAGTCGGACCATTAGATTACACATAACTACAAAAACGTCTATTTAACCAGAAGTGAGAAATTTATAAAGAAAGCAACGGTGGCTACGGAACGTCTGTTAACGAAGTGGCTGAACTTAATCAGGAATCGATCAAATCAGGACCAATAACTTCGCTCGAATTTCTTTTCCATCAACGAACTCTCATCAAGAATTCAAACAAATCACTTCGCCAAGCCATCAAGACTAACACCAAAGTTGGAAATAAAACAAATGAAGGCAACGCTGCTGCAGCAATTACAATAATTACCAGCGAGGATTAACTTGCTCCCAGTGATGCCACAAGAGCACGAGCTCTCAAGCACTGGCGCTCACAGTGATGCCACATCGACACGAGTTCTCAAACAGACATCCATGAGCTATCAAACACTGACTTTTACAGGGAACTCGAAGTAACAACAATGATCACCTGGCTAACGCCACCAGAGTGCACCTCGTAAAGCATCCAAGAGCCAATGGCCTATTATGTTTAGCAGATATTTCACTTTCACAAAGGTTTGTAAGTGGTTTTACAGAGTTTAGAACCCAGCTCACCCAGTAGTGGGTAGTAGTTTGGAAAGGAAAACGCCCACAAGCAAGGTAACAAGCTTGAGAAACCTCACCTTTAAGTGAAACGTCGTGTAACACTTCAAAACTAGGTAACGTAGCTTCTCGGGTCGCTCTTGAGAACCATCGATTTCCTACACACACGCACACGATTTGACTTCTAAGGTTCGTTAACGTCTGATCTGCAAAGAGCAAAGGAAGGGTGATAGAAACAGACATGTATCCAATGAAAACTCACTCCGTTGCCTTGTTGCCACGACAAACATTTGAAGAGCGAGCTGAAACGTGAAAACAGTTACTTTGGCTTTGGGATCCTACTAAGACTGCGATGCAATTCCTCTGCATCACAAACATATATAATCTTACTAACCTAGATATTATGATTAAGCAGGATTGTACAAGCGCCTATAAGCTAATCAGTTTTCTGGTATTTTTTCTTTCCTCTTAGATTCAGTCTCTGGAAAATAATAACATGATTTACGTGAAAAGTCTCTGTAAAATATCCTCTTTTCTTCTCAGTAAGCTCAGCAGCTGATTCTCGGAAGATGACCTGATACCTGTGTTCTTGCATGATAGCCTTGGGCTATATATCAACCCCTCTGGGTGAAGATTAGCAATTTTATGTACAGCCTTGATCCCGCTTTGATCATTCGATGAAAGGAATGGTGAAGACGTGATTCTCCGTCCTCAATGGGCAGAACACACAATTTGCCACTACATATTCGACCACGTTATAGGCGACTTGTGACAATGTGATGCTGATTTCTTCCCTTCTCAGGAAAAGCAGGTTCCACATCAAGTACTTCCTTCCCTTCTCGTGGCTAGTCTGGGGATCATCACCATTTACAAGATTCTTAAAGAAATAAACAAAAGTTGACTTGAAAAGCATGGAAGTCAAAGCTTGTGACATTAATACTCACGGCTCTTGCAACATTTTCACTGGATTTCTGTCTTTATTGAATTAATCCTTTTCTTGAGAAGATCACAAGACTCACGACTCTCCAAATTATTATAATCAAAAAGAAGCGCTAAGCTATACAGCGCGACTCTCCAAAGTGAACTAAATAAGAGGATCTACTTGGAAAAATGAATTATCGTGCTGCTTTTGGATATCAAGATGTTCTCTAAAGAGTTGGTGAATAGCTTATAATTCTCGAAATTCAAGGCCTTCAGGAAAATACCTTGGATCTCTGATTATGATTTGGTGCTCTCCTTGTGTTGCCTCAGCTCGCTCCCTGAAGCTGTCTTGAGTCTTTTCCTGATGTTTTTAAGAGTGTCTAATCCTGTCTTTGGTCTACCCTGATGCTCCCTCGGGTCTTTTCCTAATGTTATTATGGGGTTTAATTTTGTCTTTCTCTCCCCGATGTTGCGTTTGGTATTTTCCTGATGCTGTTATGGAGTGTTTTATTCTGTCTTTGGTTCTCTTCCCTGATTCTGCCTTAGATCTTCCTGTTTAAATAACCAAGAAAGCAGCCAGAGTTATCCTGATAGTATGGATCCAAATTTCTTGCCATATTATCCACTATATACATTGTTCTGCGGTTCAGTCTTTTGTTTATTTAGTAACGATGAAGCCACAAACAATGCAATCACACATGATGGATTTCATACATAGTTGAAATCTCTCAGCCCAAGCTGGGCGACTTCATTAGGGCAATGAGAATATCGTCAAGTATTCCATTAAAAGTTCAACAGCTACGACAGCTTCAAAGGTTTGTAATCGTTTGAGGTTATGCCAAGCATACTGGCATTGACGTAAGGGTAATTTAGGTACAAGAGTATTTCAATGAAGTACCAACTGACTTATTCAGTAATGTTTGTATTACAAGTAATCCGCGTTCTCTTGTACTAATGAAAAACTTTCAACTTCGGCATTATATTGTGGAAAGGCTCTTACTAAAACGTGAACTGTGTATTATCCATTATTATTATTATTATTATTATTATTATTATTATTATATCACAAGGAAGCACTAACCCACATTGATCATATAGCACTTGGGAAACGGGATCAATCAAGATTTAATCAAGGAAGGGAAAACTGACTCCTAGTTCGTAGGATCACGACTTACAACACCAACCGAACGTCCTCTTCAAAGAGGCTGTTAAGCATTCACTAGGTACGACAGAGGTGCATTAAGGAGAAAGGATACTCAAGGTTAGGATTTTGTACTCATAAGAACTAATCTGGTTATATAAATAACAGCATTTGGTTATTTCTTGATCCATCTTATATACTGACGGCAATGTTGAAGAAACAGCAAAAATCGGCTTTATAAAGCTCTACGAAGAGTTAAGCGTTATTAAAGCTTGTTCTGCAACGTCTCTCTCCTTCATTAACTTTTTGCAATGCTATGTTTAAATTTTTCATATGCAATTAGATGACCATTTGAAGTATTAATGGAGTGAGAGCAAAGTTGCATTTACCAGTTAACTGGACTCGAGTCCTGGCGGTGGAAAGTTCAGCGCCCCCATTCAAAACGATAAGCCAGAATGGTGTGTTTTTCCAGTGTCAAGTACAGTGTCCGTGTTCACTGTCCATAATCTCTCATTCTGTGCTCATAGTTTTACATTATTTGTTCGTGATTTCACTTTCTCTGTTCATGTTTTTACGTTTTCTGTTTACAGTCTCGGGTTTTTCAGGTTGTCATGTTTGTTAAACAAGGTCTTATATAGAGCTAAGTATTTGTTTTAAAGGTCTCTTTCAAGACAGGAGCTTCCAATGTACTGCTTGTAGGTCGACTGCGGGGTCGACTGCGGCCCGGGTGGTCGACTACGACCCGCGTGGTCGACTACGACTCGCATGGTCGACTGCGATCCGAGGGGTCGCCTGCGGCCCGGTCGACTGCTTTCCAGGAGCTTTGCCACTTGATAAAGCTCCTGGAGAACGAAACATTGCCACAATAACTGCACATCTAACCTTTCACCTAACATATTACCAGTAATTCTACCAACATAATAACTACGAAGTGCCGCCCGTCTAAGATTTTAATCAAGCCGCTTTTTCTCCCATTAAGTAGAAAACACCGAGTGTTTAACACAAACTTCAAACTTTTATGATAATGAGGCTGATTAAAACTCCTTCATGCATTATTTTACTGCTAAAAAAATCCTTACTTTTTTTTTACTAACAGGCTATATACATCATCGTTATTATTATTAAAAAATTCTGGATGACTCTTTTACAAGGCGTTAGCAATGTTGCACAGAAAAGCCCATGGCAGTGTTGCAGATTCACCTCCATCAGGTAGATAACGTGCATAATTAACGCAACAATCTATTGGCGTTGCGCAGTGACAACTCGCGTATTGTGTTGCAAGGTCATTTCAATGTGGGTATTGTGTTCCAAGGCCATTTTAATATGGATATTGTGTTGCAAGGTCATTTCAATATGGGTATTGTGTTGCAAGGTCATTTCAATATGCGTATTGTGTTGTAAGGCCATTTCAATATGGGAATTGTGTTGCAAGGTTATTTAAATGTGGGTATTGTGTTGCAAGGTCATTTGAATATGGTTATTGTGTTTTCCAGGTCCCCTGACGGAGGTACGGGCGGTGGTGGGCGGAGAAGCACTGCTACCTTGTGACGTGACAGAGTCTGGAGACTCCCCTATATTGGTCCTCTTCTACAATGGTGTCACAGGTCGACCTGTCTACAGGTAAGCTACAAGTTTACCTATCTACAGGAAAGATACAAGGAAAGGTTGACCTATCTATAGGTCTATTTATGTGAAAAGGTGATTTAGAGAGAGAGCGAGAGAGAGAGAGAGAGAGAGAGAGAGAGAGAGAGAGAGAGAGAGAGAGAGAGAGAGAGAGAGTTATAAGCATCCTCGAGCTCGGTTGACACAGAGATAACCTAGCATAATGATTCGACATCCACCAGCATCTTGGATATAGCAGTAGGAGGCATCTCCATTCCTTGTCGGCTGTCACAAGGGAATCGTCTTACCTGCTCGACACAAACAAACCCAGCAAGCATCACCGGAGAGAGATGCACCCATTCAGTAGTGTGAGCTTCATTAGCCAAGCAAAGCTATCTGGGAGGAACTCGCAACAACTTGCTACACAATGATAAGACCTGGCAAGACTTCCTGTTAGCGTTCTCTCTCTCTCTCTCTCTCTCTCGATATTAACCCTGGTACATAATCTAATAAATTATTAACGATCTAAATCCATTTGGAAAGAGTGACTATAATTAATAGGAAATAATATATCCTCTTAAATGTAACATATGAGGCGAGAAATGTATCAGCACGAAAGATCAGATTGTAAAAAAAATCAGCTTTAAAACTGTGGTTTATGGAGTGAGATGTGAATTACAGAACATATTAGTTCTGAACTCCAGACAATACAAATACAAATAGACTGTGTACAAGTTCTGTAGGTAATGTTTTTGTTTTTGTTGTCGTAATGGATATGATATATAAGACTACATGAGTGAATGTTGATGTTCTGTTGTGTATGTGTGTGTGTGTGTGTGTGTGTGTATGTGTAAGTGTGTGTTGTGTGTGTATGTGTGTGTGTGTTGTGTGTGTGTGTGTAGTGTGTGTTGTGTGATGTGTGTGATGTGTGGTGTGTGTGTGTGTTGTGTGTGTGATGTGTGTGTTGTGTGTGTGTAGTGTGTGTATGTGTGTGTTGTAGTGTGTATGTGTGTGTGTGTTGTGTGTGTGTGTGTGTATATGTGTGTGTGTGTGTGTGTGTGTTGTGTGTGTGTGTGTGTGTGTGAGTTGTGTGTGTGTGTGTGATTGTGTGTGTGTGTAGTGTGTGTTGTGTGTGTGGTTGTGTGTTGTGTATGTGTGTGTTGTATGTGTATGTGTATGTGTGTTGTATGTGTATGTGTTGTGTGTATGTGTTATGTGTGGTGTGTGTGTGTGTTGTGTGTGTGGTGTGTTGTGTGTGTGTGTGTACTCACCTAGTTGAGGTTGCGGGGGTTCGAGTCGTGTGGTGTGTGTATATGTGTGTGTGTGTGGTATGTGTGTGTATGTGTGTGTATGTGTATGTGTGATGTTATGTGTGTGTGTGTATGTGTGTATGTGTATGTGTGATGTATGTGTATGTGTATGTGTGTATGTGTATATGTGTGTGTTGTGTGTGTGTGTGTGTGTGTGTGTGTGTGTGTGTGTGTGTGTGTGTGTGTGTGTGTGTGTGTGTGTGTGTGTGTGTGTGAGGGTTTACAATCAATATAAGAACGAGCCAATCGAGAAACCTGTCAAAGATTCACGTTGGCTAGAAATTCACAAATTTAAGGAGAAAGGAAGAAAAGCTTTGAAAAAAATTAAAGTAATAGATAGAGAACTCGGTAGAACCAAATTTTTTAATGACATCTGAGAAAAGTAACCTATATGTTATAGACAAAACACGAAAAATATGCAACGGTAAAAATAAAAATTACTTGGGTAGAGATGTGTCAGGTGTTAGTCTCTGAGATTGTTCACAAAACGTGATATTTTTTTATGTAGAAGATATTAATGCCTAACATAACTAAATTAGAGGATATTGAAATAAGTGAATAGAAGAATAAGGAATTATTACCGGGTGCTGACAAGTAAAAAGCAAAATGGCCAGATGGGATAGCACCTTGGGAATTAAAAAAAAAAAATCCCGAAGAATTATACTATCAACACAAACTTTTTTTTTAAGATTTCAGTGGAGGAAGGTAAATTGCCTGAAAACTGGAAGATGACATATATTGCCCAAATAAATTAAGAAAGTGACAGACAATACCTTTTAAACTATACGCTAATTTCGCTGACAAGTGTTCGAAAAATATTGGAAAAAGCAACTAGATAAAGAAAGGATCAAACACTAACAGAATAAAAAAAAATAATAAACGGTAAAAAATTTGATTTTCGATCCGCAAATTCATTTCTGTCAAATATGAAATTATTACGACACGGTCTTGGACTTTTTTATGAGAGGAAAATGCGAACTAATAAGAGGATCTGCCGAGCTCCTTGAAAAATGAACTGTGCATTTTATGAACGTCAAGATTTTTTTTTAAAGAGCTGTGAATTGCTTACAAGTTCTCGATATTCTAGGACTTCAAGAAAATACCCTGGATTTCTTTGTGGCACTGATTTGGTGCTCTCCTTGTGTTGCTGTAGCTTTCACCCTGCAGCTGCCTCGGGTCTTTTCCTCATACTGTTATCGGGTCCTAATTCTATCTTTAGTCTCTTCTCATGCTGCCTTGGGTCTTTTCCTCATACTGTTATCGGGTCCTAATTCTGTCTTTGGTCTCTTTCTCATGCTGCCTTGGGTCTTTTCCTGTTGTTGTTATGGAGTCCCAATTCTGTCTTTAGCCTCTCCTTGATGCCGCCTTGGGTCTTTCCCTGATACTGTTATAGGGTGTAATTCTAATACAAAAACATAAACAGTTTTCGATCTACAAATTCATTTACTTCAAATATTAATTATTATGACACGGGAGAAAGGACTGGCTGGATTGTATTTATCTGCACTGGGAAAGATTTTGGTAGTTTCCAGTTGAAGACAAAAGTGTAAATTGCGGAATGTATGAGTAACAAAAGGCAAATTATTATAATCTATTAGACACTTCTTGAGAGGAAAATACGTACTATAACGAAAATTATCTTCGTGGGGAGATGTCACAGGTGGGGTGCCACAAGGATCAGTTTATCATTTAATTATAGACAATCCATACAGAATATGACACTAAATAGGTTTATACCCCAAAAAAATTCATACACAAAATAAACAAGTCTCTACAAGATGACTTGTATATGTCAAGCAAATGGAGTGAACGAAACATGGCAGAAATTATTGTAGATAAATGCATAGTAATGAAAATGGAAGTCTGCAAAATCAGGCAAGATGAAGAACTGACCAAATATTAAGTCATACCTGGAGTTTACCTGGAGAGAGTTTCGGGGGTCAATGCCCCCGCGGCCCGGTCTGTGACCAGGCCTCCTGGTGGACCAGCGCCTGATCGACCAGGCTGTTGCTGCTGGCTGCACGCAAACCAACGTACGAGCCACAGCCCGGCTGATCAGGAACTGACTTTAGGTGCTTGTCCAGTGCCAGCTTGAAGACTGCCAGGGGTCTGTTGGTAATCCCCCTTATGTGTGCTGGGAGGCAGTTGAACAGTCTCGGGCCCCTGACACTTATTGTATGGTCTCTTAACGTGCTAGTGACACCCCTGCTTTTCATTGGGGGGATGGTGCATCGTCTGCCAAGTCTTTTGCTTTCGTAGTGAGTGATTTTCGTGTGCAAGTTCGGTACTAGTCCCTCTATAGGAATTATTCTTAAAAAAAAAATCACCGAAAAATTACATTAATGAAACTGAGAGAGACTCGTATTCTATATTGGCATATCATAAAATAGCGTTCAAAGATATGAACGAGGAAATGCTTTCAGAAAAAAGTCGGGAAATATTGACAACTTGTGGTACCCACACAAACAAAATTCGTGGGCAAGAGCTATAATATTTCTGCCTTAGTTTAAACAAAATAAAGAGTAATGGCGAAAGAGAGATAGTAAGATAGTAAGAGAGATAGTAATGGCGAAAGAGATACGACAGGATAACCACATGTAGGATCTTAAGAAGATGTAGAACGTAGATAAGAGGCGTGTCGGGCGTGTATTATTATTATAATCAAGGGGGAAGCGCTAAACCCGGGGGATTATACAGCGCCTGGGGGGGGAATGTGGAAGGCATTCAGGTTTAATTCGGGGAACTGGAGCACAAATTCCAATTCCCTAAATCAAGAGCCCCTCACCAACATGTCGGGCGTGTAGCAAGGGTAACATGAGGCAACAGTGAGAAACTCAGGAAAAAGTGGAGCAGAACGGATAAAAGAACATTTTTCTTCCCAAATTGAGCGGTTGGTCAATGGAAGTATTTGTAAGAAGCTGTGGTAAGTACTATAATTCCACTGGAAATTATTAAAGGATTATGGAATAAATTGTTGACGGGAGACTACGAGCATACCTCCGTTCCTGTAGCTACACACACACACACACACAACAACACACACACACACACACACATACACACACACACACACAAGCAAATCGAAGCAATGATAACTGTTCAGTATTTATATACAGTGAGTTCACTGTCTAGCGATTATCGATATTTTGAACACTAAAACACTCACGACTGTTAAACTGCATTATTTCTAACACATAACGTATTTGTGTGTCCTCTCACAGTTGTGTACATTACTTGACTTAAGAAATCGTAATGACACGATTGCAAATAAACCATGTCTATGCCGCTTCAACCGCGTGTTGTACATTAGTACCAATTGATAACGGGAGATAGTTTGCTTACCAGTCGAACAAAAAATTCAAGTGCTCGACTGTTTGCTTTATAAAGCATGGGGGGTTGGCGTCAGAGACAGGGGGGGGGGGCGGTGCGTGGCAGGGTGCGGATGGCAGAGTACGGTAGGGGGGAGGGATTCTGCTGGAGGGGAAGGGGCGGTAGGGGCGAGGAAGCTAGGTGTTTTAGGCAGCGCGGTGCTGTGGGAGTTGTTTGATATGCAAACCTGATCAAGCCAACACTAACATAGCGGCCGACACACAACACACGGGAAACTATTTTTTTTAACCACACACCACCACACAGTATATATTATATATATATATATATATATATATATATATTATATATATATATATATATATATATATATATATA